GAATCACTCTGCTTTCCGATCACGTCGGAAGGGTGAATTGAAATCTTGCATTCATTTCACTTGTTTGTTAAGTAGTTTAATTAGTTGACATTGGAATACTGGAGAAGTTATCGACGTATTCAGAAAATAATTAAAAAGTTCACTTAGTGGAAGATTTTACAATGTAATGTTCATATGATTCTATGTTGGTAAACACAGTTTTGTTAAAACTACGTTGATAGGAACATCTGTTTAGCGAATTAAGAATGTTGGCGATATATTTCCCTAGATATTTCGCTTAAATTTCTAAGTATATAAGCACAAGCAGAATTTTAGTTACAAATAAAAAATCTGTTAGTTTTCTACTCTGTTTTCCCATTTTTATCGCTAAATCACAATTAAAAGTGTTTTAAGGTAAGGTAAGCATATTCAGATTAAGCATTTACAGATTATTTTGTCCATAAATTCAGTGGAAAATAATATTTAATTTTTTTTTGTGTCAAATAGAAAATCTGATAATTTTTTTGGCCAAATAACTGTAACAATCACATCAATGTAATTAATAAAGTAGATTTTTTTTCCAGTGTGGTATTTATTAATATTCTAATATTCTGTGGTTAATAATATGAGGAATATTTGTGAATCTTTTCACATCAGAAAAACAAGTTATATGTTTACGAATATAATTTTATTAACAATGTTACTTTAATGACTGTACTGAAGTCGATATTTACAATTTATATAATACATTTTTACAAATTTCTCCTATATCTAATCTATGCTATATTCAAATGTAATGCATAGTTTCATAAATATTATATAAAATGTTTCGTTTATCATAACAAATAAATTCACAACTTCATTTGCGCGCAGGTAAATCTATGTTATCACAAAGGTAAAAAGCGAGCAAAAACAGATCTCCCAAGTAATAAATTTAATATTTACAAACACAGTATTGGTAAACCTCCAGTTTAAGGTATTGGGGTAAGATTAAACCACATTTTGAACACTGCTAAAAATAAACAAGTCTGGTGTAAATTCGATTAAAACATAGAAATGCTGTGATTGGAGAAACATTAAAATATTCCTTGAGTTTGTCATTGAAATACTAGTAATAATAAATCGGTATTAAGGTTAAACCTTTAAAAATTAGTTTATTTCTTTATAACACTGGTATTTTCCGTCAATAAGTAGCCAAGTTCTCAAACGCTTAGTCACAGATGCGCAAACAATTTGTATAAGTTTTCTAGACAAGAATTTTTCTATTACTTCCTAGACAATGTATTCAATTATTAATGCCTTCTTATGAAGCACTTACCGTTGAATTAGACAAAGAAAAAGCGACATAATTACTCGTGGCGCCGATTTATTAAAAACGTTATGATCCAGTCATAAATTAATTTAATATGCGACTCTCATTAATATTGATTAATACCAAATTAGGAGAGATAATTGTAAGGTAATTAGAAGCCATGACATGTTGCATTGTATAATGCAAATATTGGAGTGTTGTTACGCGATTTGTAACCAGGGAGAAAATATCTATGACCTACACTTCCGGTTGTTTCTAAGGTATAGGTAGTCTGTGCTGATATAGACTGTATTGACGCAGGTAAAAACGTAATAAACACATTGTTGTTTGTCAATACTGGAATGTTACCTAATCTATGGCGTCTGTGAATTGAATTTAGAAATACATGGCTAAGAAATATTTCTATAAATAGCTCACTCTGGGAGCAAATACCATTTGTTTATTTATACCGAAATAATTTTTAATAAGCTTTTAACGCTAATTCGTGATATTGCAAAATGTGTTCCATAGATTAAATTATTTTACACGCGTATTGTACATAAACTATAATTCGTCAACGTTCTTTAAACCTCAATTAATTTTGTTTAAAACATTAACTACACATGATAAAATAATTAAGTTTATAAAGGAGAATGAAATTAATTTATGATTACGATTTAGAAGATAATATATACGAAATGACATAATATAGCACATTTAAACACAATCAATATATAAATAAATGTATATTATTATTTTTTCTCTTTATTAAGCGTGGTTCTCACACATTAAGACAAACGACAATTAACCAATGACGACGCAAAAGCGCGCGAAACGTAGGAACAGATAAATTATAAATAATTAGATACTGAATCGAACTATAATTTAATAGTGTATTTATTTTTAGACTCTGGTAATCCCGTGTAAGTTACTATATCACGGCAGTTACTTATTAGTATTATATAAATGGTTTATAATCCATTGGATATGAAATTCTAATTGTTTTATAGACTGATGAACTAGATATAAGTTTACATTAATTAGAATTACATTTTTATAATTTAAAACGTTCTCAAAAATTTGGCGTCTTTTGCTAAAAGGACGCATTAGAACTAAAATTTAGTAAAATGAACTTAGGCTATCTAATTTCAACAGCTGTCAAACAATTTTATTTATTGACATAAGACGAGATGCGACCTTTGTAAACTAAATAATGTTTGAATCCGACATAAAGTAACATTCTTTTTGATCATATTTTAGTAGGAAAAACTAAAATAAAGATGGGTATTAATATTCATAAAACTAGATTGGATAATTTGAATCCTTTCTTTACTAAATGTGATAAAGAAGACAAACGTTTTGTTCCCATAAAGCTTCATTTCAAATAATTCAAGATTACACTCTCGGATCCCGACAAACGTCACTCCATACTATATAAGGTATCGACTACATTCATTGATACACATAGCTTTATACCATTATTTCCATATATGTAAGCTATTTCGCCATAAAATAGCATCACGCAGACAAAAACACTTAGTAATTATACACATGGACTGTTTCCGAAATAAGGAAAATAACGACTCAAAAGACGCAATGTCTTTTAAAATCTAGATTTTTCTGTCTAGGCAATATACAATCCAGCGCCATTATTTACCCAAACAAATTATTAAGAAAATAAATACTAGATTTTTGTATGGAAACGTATGGTTTCTATACGTTTCCAGGATCCTGGGGGAGAGGGTTTGCCTCAATAACAAATTTCTAATACAACAACAATATGGACTAATGATTGCCTGCTTAATAAACAAATTATTATTATTATTAGATATGATGTTTGATAACTGTTTGCTTTAGCTCAGAATCGATTCACGATCCTGCTAGACTTTCACACGGGTTTAAGCCAAATGAACACAGTTTTTTTATACGTTACTTGTATGTAGTAATATGCGGGTGATATGCTCGATTATATAAATGGATTACGGGAGGTCCAATAATTTGATAGCTTTGTATGACTGTTTTAGGTTTATTCCGATGGAGGACCAAATGATAGGGACTATAGATACTTTGTTATGGGGTATTTCGTGATTTTATGAGCTAGAGTTTCTTGTTGTGGATCTTATTACTTATTATTTGGCAATAATAATTATTATATAGCTTTTAATAGTGGATATCAACATAATCTATATCAAAAAAAAAAATACCTTCCTGTCTCCTAGTTCTTCTGATTGAAAAATAAAATTGATAGTGCGTAACAATGTGGCACTGGGCCGTGTTCGTATTGGAGCTAAGGGTAAGATTCAAAGCTGACACAGAGCTAAGAATCTCGTAGTATTCGTTTTGTAAACCTACCAAATGGTGTCGAAATTTTGAACAACTGGACATAGGTACATCGTAATTTATTCAAACTAGAAAACACAAAAAGGATTACTGTAACAGCCATTTTTTTGACACCACCTCATAGATCTACTATTTTTTTGGAAAAAAACGTTCAAATTATAAATTAAATTTAGTGCCTAATTCTTAAGTTCTATATAAGTGTTTAACGCCTTTTTAACTTTAGTGTGACAGAGTTAGTACACGAATGACTAAACATTAAGGGCGAAAATTGGCGCGAAGTTAACCCTTATGTCAAAATGACATACATTTTTGACGTAGGTTCGTACGTAAATTAATGAAAAATAGATAATATACCTATAGTAAGAAATAAATCAAGTAAAAACAATGTTAGAGCTGTAGCTGACACAGATATATAAGTGATTCTGTGTGTGCTTTGTTTCACCGGGAGTTGAATCTATGACCCTAATTTATAAATGTTGTCGCGCGTAAACTGAGAACATAAAATGTATCATTATCTACTTGCAAAATGCGAAAGTTTCACTTGTATTGATAAGTCAACTATTAAGTATTTAATTTTAGACTATGAAAATAATAGACTAAATCCTTTCAAGTCAAAATAAATACTTGGAAATATGATAAGTAAAAAGGTTTTTTATTTGAAATTGAAAAATAAATATTTTACATTTTAAAAAAGAATATATATTGACGTTATATATTATTGCTTTTTATTTAACAATCATAATTTAGTACCACTCAAGCATACTTTTATAACCAAGTAATTAAGACGTTTAATAAGTGTTTCTTTGTTGAAGTCTAGATCTAGGCTTTTAACTTAAATCGCTTAGGAAATAATAGGCCTACAATGTAAATTAAGAAACAATTTATTTAAAAATTTTATATTATTTTACACCATATCACAGCATTTCTATATACGAAAAATTTCTAAGAAATTCTCTACAAATAAATAATTACTTAAAAATTTACTTTTCTACAATATTTTCTGACCGGAACGTTCATGCGAAGGATAAAATATATCTACATCTAAATTTACAACTAAAATTTGATATGATAAATAAATTCTTCATTTATTAGGAAAACTCGGTAAAACACAAATAAATGCGTCTGGAAAGACAAAAGGCCTAAAGATAAATAAATCAAGAATTTAAATTTGTAGTCATTGAGACAAAGTCAGCAATTCCGTTTCTATAATCACGTTTTATCATTATAATACAGTACGTACCTGACGCGGGAGCCTCAAGCACAACACTTCAACAATTAAAACCTATAGTAACTATACAACTCACATCACAAGAATCATCTATTGCATCGTCACTTCACGAGACAAGCGGCGACATTATCACTGTATTTACACTATCAGTCTGACCGCTGGTCACTCTTCGTCCACGTTGATCTCCGAGTCGGCTGAATCTTCGTCGTAAGTCGAGGAAGACGCAAAACCTCTGCCCAGAACTGCGGATCTATTCTTTGCGGCGGCCGCGCGGTCTCTTTGCCGCCGGTTCTTGAACCAGTTGCCGACTTGCGTCGGCGTTAACCCCGTCGCCGCGGCTAATTCCCTTTTCTTCGTTGGATTCGGATAAGGATCTTGCAGGTACCACTCCCTCAACAGAGACCTCGTCCTCTCTTTAAAACAGTGCGTTTTTTGTTCGCCATCCCAAATCGTTCTAGGCAGCGGAAACTTCTTCCTGACTCTGTACTTGTCGACTGGACCGAGAGGGCGACCGCGCAATCGTTCCGCTTCTTGGTAATGCGCTTCCAGCCAAAGAGCCTGTAGCTTTGCGTGGCTTGAACGCTGAAATCTATGCCGCTCCAAGATCGAGTAGAGTTCTCTGTGACGTCCGGCGTGAAACGCCACAACCGCTCGCGCTCTGAGGACGGCTTCGCAGCGTTCCAACTCGGCGACATTAGGATGAGCGACGGGTAACGACCACAGGAATCGCGCCAGTCGTTCCACATCTCCACTCTCTTCCAGGGTCTCACAGACGGTCGCCACTTGAGCGGCACTGAAGGAGAGCGTAGGCAGCGGCAGCAGAGGAGTCGGAGCGGCCAGCTCGAGCGAGGAGATAGAGAGCGGCGGCTCAGTGCAAGCGGGCTCGGCGGCGGCTCGCTCGGGCGCCGCGGGCCCGCGATGCGCCTCCAGGATGCGCGCGTGGAGCGCCGCCGTCGTGGACTCGTCCCAGGAGCCGCGCATCGGTGCGAGTGAGCGCCGAGTCGCGCGCCGTGTGAGCCACCGCCGTCGGGCGACCGTTCGGGGGGCGTTCCGGGCTCGCTCGCGATTGGCTATCGGTTACCGTGGCGGGCCAATCGTCTGCGCGACCGCCCGGGGGCCGTATAGCTTTCAACCGCGGCGCACTACGTATCCGGCGGGCGCGTTTAACGAGGGCGGCGGGGCGAGGCCCCCCGCGCCGCCATGATCCGTCACGCACACCTCCCGCCCGGCGCGCCGTGATCCCCGACGCCTCGCTTCGATAGATTACCTGCAAACCTGCAATTAATAGCCGCCATGTACTCATCCGGGTGGATTACGCGCTTTTATTTGCGCGATGTACAGATCGATATTAATAAACTCGCCGGTTAATGATTAACATCGGTGCTTGTCCTAACGGAAACTGAGCGAGAGATTGACATAGCTGTTTCTCAAAAAAACTTTACACATGAAGCATAAGTTGTCGATCTAAAATTAAGCGGTAACATTAAAGTTTATAAGGCAGCCAACGTCAAAGTCAAACATATAAATTATACATGTATCTGTATCTTATCGTAAATTTAGATACCTACCACCAGTTCTCAAACGCTGTAATAATAGTTAAGTTATTTTGTGATTTACAATAGGAAAGTAGGCAGGTTTTAATTTATAAACCCAGTTTAGAAACGCTAAGCAATTTATTATGTTAATGCAAAAACTTTAACCGTTCCTGTACTGTTTTTATTTTATAACCACAGATTTATTTTAACGAAATAATAAATTAATCGTCCGAATCTTGGTTACACTATAAACCTTTTGAAGTAAAACTCTAGTATCAAATAGATTCCGTCGCTGTACATCGAGCGAGATTTCACCGTGAAAGCCTTTCCAGAGTATTAAGTTATTGAACGGCAAACCACACCCAGGCACAGGTGGCCCCCACCCCCCCCTCCGGGGTATGGGGCACCCCGGGGGCTCGCGTTACTCGCGCACGGATTACATGTATTTTGTTATAATGGATTTTTATTAACTTGAGCGTTATTGTCGGAGCAGAAAGCAAAGGATTTGAAAATAACAAGTCTTCTTGTAATCCGTTGACGCTTTTCCGTGACATTCGCGATTTGTCTTTTGGAGTATTTTGTTTTATACTTATTTCATAATTGTTACCTTTAGGTATTTTTAAAAGAACAGGGGGTTTTGCGTGGCTGAACCTTATTAAATAAATGCGGTCCAAACGATATTCCTGCCGTTTAGGCCTCATTTACCCCTTAGTGTTATAAATATTTAATAGTCTATGTATAATGTAATGTATCAATTATATAAATAAGGCCTTTTTAAATGTTATATTTTTGGTTATTAAAATGCTACAGATGATAACATTGTCGTACCATTTATAGCGAATTAAAGGGTGGTCATAGCAGCTGTTATTAACAAAATACAGACTATACATTTACACCTGGTATTCTACAGGTAAAGTATTGTAAATGGCGCTCTTGTGACTGGCTTTGCTTACGTTAATACGTAATGAACGTCAATGTAGGTACGTCTAATGACGCTTATTTTAAATTAGAGACTTACGGCCTGGCCACGGGGATCGGCGGTGCGAACTGCGATGCGGGAGGCGAGGCGACCATTCGCGCGGGGCCGTTTGCAGGCCACGCACCAGTCACGTTCGCCGCCGCGACCAGTAAGGAAGTTCGACAGCTAAATGTCTTTATCGAAATCATCTCGATATTGCTTGGAAAGTAATAGCTTTTGGTGCAAGACCTAATATTTGGAGAAATTGTGGAGAATTCCACAAGAAGTATGAGAAATTCAGAATATATCCAGAATTATTTTTTTGAGTATACCAGAATGAGTATTGAAACCTTCAATTATATTCTTATGAATATTCAACCAGAATTGGAGAAAAAAGTTAATGCAAATAGAATTTTAAGTTCCGCTGAAAAATTGTTTTTAAAATTAAGGTATATTGAATTAATGCTGTGGATGGCCAGACTTCCAAATAGCTGGTCTAGCCAGTATTTCAGTAACAAAAAACTCTGTATTCATTTTTCGCCGCGACCACGACTAAACTTATTTATTCCCTTCTCTATTCGCCGCAACTGCCGCTCGACTCCGTGGCTTGCACCGTACTGATTCATGCATTTGTTTCGCTCGCCCGTCGCGACGTCAGTCGCCCGCGCGATTCGCTCGGTACATTTCGCCGGTCGCATCGCTGGTCGCCGTTGCGCGTGGCTTGATTAGTACATTGCTATGAGTTTATTTCAGTCGCTAGACGCATCGCGGTTCGCACCGCGCGAATATTCGCGTCGGCGAATGTCCCGTGGCCAGGCTGTAACAACTAAGGCCATTTTCAATACGCGTCATTAAGTATCAAAATATTGGCGAGTATAATAAATTTCTGTCAGATTTATTAGGCACACAAAAGGAATACAGTATAATAGATTGATACATTGATCTGTTTTTGACAAACCCGAAATCACTATTGATCCACGTAACCATGGCAACAGTAATATTTAATAACATTTTCTATCCTACCAGAGATAGGAGTACCTACTTACCCATAACCGACGAGCATGCATGGTGAATGTGAAAGTGGATGAAGGGAGAGAGTTCAGGACCGTAGCAAATGGATATCTATTTATTTATTTACAAAATCTTACGCTATAAGAAAAATAAGACAAGATTTAAGGCACGTTTAGGAAAACCTAACAAACGCAAAAAGAAAAAAAATACATCGATTCATAAATTATAAAATTTATTTCAAAGTGTGAAAGCAACTATGGATATCCAGATAGATCCAGATCCAGGTAGATCTAGATTATCTGCCTACCCTGTGTAAAAATAAAAAAAACAGATATTTAACTGTAGATAGGTATAACAATTTATTTTTTCTTTAAAGATTGTTTAATGTTTAATTTCAGTTTTCTTTTTTTATCTATTAAGGTATAAGGTTATAGGTACTTAATAGACTTACATTTTATGTTTATTTTTACACAACAATGTAGTCTGATGTAGCGTTGTATATTGTCTAAGTGTTTTATTTTATAAATCAGTGGCGCTACAGCCTTTTTAGTTCTAGGCCTCAGATTTCTGTATCTGTTTCATGATCATTTGTTAATCTAATAGGCAAGTAGGTCATTAACTTTGCCTGACACAAGCCTTTTTTTGGGTCTAAGGCAAGCCGGTTTCCTAACGATGTTTTTCCTTCACGGTACGAGCGAATGCTAAATGCGCACGTAGAAAGTCCATTGGTGCACAGCCGGGGATCGAACCTGCGACCTCAGGGATGAGAGTCGCACGCTGAAGCCACTAGGCTAACACTGCTTCCAGTAGCTAGTTAGATTACTTATAAATAAATATAACTGAAAATCCAATCATTTTGCTCGCACACCTATGGTAGGGTAACAAAAATTCTTAACAAATAGAATTGTCAAAGTTTACAAATTGAATATTCTAAGATAAACAAAAGCGAATTAATCTAAAAGCCCGTAAGCTGATTTGTGTGGGGCGAAGGGCGAATAATGCTAATTGAGTGTTTTCTTTGGCTTAGTTTCGGATGTGGGAGTTTACATATGGTTACAAGCCGGCAATATATTTTTCGGGTTAACCTCGAGCTTAAACCTGCTCGCTGCTAACAGACCGGCAATTGTTTAATTGTTCATTTTACAGTATATTTTTTATATAACGGGGCAAACGGGCAGGAGGAGGAGAGACAGGAGAACCTAATGTTAGGTGATACCGCCCATTGCAAGAGGGCTCGCAAGTGTGCGGCCTTTAAAAAAAACGTGTGTGTCCATATGTACCTACACGCGTTAGACGTTATACTTCTATGGCGTAACAAAAAAAAATCTTTTCAAAAATTGTATTCTACGTTTTCTAGAAAAAACTACACTAACTAAAAAAGGAATTTAATACATTGAAAGTTTTATTATAACGCATTATCTAGTTAAATAAAATTTATGTAAATATCACAAAACTAAAATGTTGACTATAGCTAACTTCAGGGTGTCGGTTATTTGTGATGGTGTCGGGTGTCGGTTTTTAGTGACGGTGTGCGCGCGCATCGTAAAAATTGACTCTCAGCATTTTTCCCTAACGCGCCAAAAGAAGTAGGTATAACTTCACAACTTGATACGCGCTTTTCTTACAAATATAAAATCAATAATTTAATTATAAAATGTATGTGTTACTGATATAATTACTAATAAAAACTTAGTATATGACAAATCCCACGACACAGGGAATACTAGTGTGTGGGCTAATGCACTTTTTTATCATGTACCTATAATAAAGTTTTTCCTTTCCTTGGAGGACTCGAAGTCGAATTGGTTCGGAAATCCTTCGGTGGGCAGCTAGTGTTAAGCCCAAACAGAAAAAATATTATCAAAATTAGTAAAAATTAAACATGAATTCTTGTAATTTTATTTTTGTTAATTTGGAGCTTTCATTTTACCAATAGTGTTTTTTTTTGCTTAAGAGGGTTGTAAGAGATAGCTTGCTAGCGATAAAGCCGGCAACATTCTGTAATATTTTATGTTTTTATTTGTAATATAACGAAGGTTTACTAAAATTCTCTTGGTTGTTGATTAAATCATTGAGTTTTTTTTTTTTTTACCCAAGATTTTAAGAAAACTTAAAAACAATACTTATCTTTAATATAAAATGTACTATGTGGCCATATCCATTATGGATGTGCAAATGTTAATACAAAAACATGTAAGTCAAATAATAATACTTTTAAATTATCAAATTTATAATTTAGTTTAGAAACCAGGTTTGATTTCCAGCGTAAACTACCTAACCTAACCTATTATGACACTATTCAATAAGCGTAAGAAATGACGCTTTCCTCGCTTTTCGCCGTAATTGGAAATATGATGAAAATGACAAACAACACAAAATTAGTTTCCTTTCACATCACGAACATTATTCAAGCATTGTTGTCGAGGACTAGTCATAAATCATAGACCACACCCTGTAGGTTTTATATCAAACAATGC